AAGCCCACTGTAACACCTCCACCGCCCACCCTGCACTGGTACCACCATCGGGGCACCACTCTAAGCGCCTCATACACCCACTGTACCCGCACCCCGCACTCCACACCCGCGCGACCGGACAGGCACGCACGCCCACCCCGCCGCAGACCCAGAGCAACTCACACACAACTGCAAAGATGTCCCTACCATGGGGCCTCTAAGCGTTCATAACCCACTGAACCCCCTCACACACACCCTGCACTCTCTACATGGGGCTCTGAGGCTCATAACCCACTGTAACCCCCTCACACCCCACTGCACCCTGTCTACCATGGGGCTCTGAGGGTCATAACCCACTGTAACCCCCTCACACCCCACTGCACCCTGTCTACCATGGGGCTCTGAGGTTCATAACCCATTGCACGCTGTACTCTTTAGTCAACTGGACATCACTATCAATGCGCAGATCACTGCACTGGTACAAACTCATCTATACCGCTATGCTTGGACTGCTGCCCCTCTACATATCCACTTACTATCACACAAACAGTACAGCTATAGACTATGATCTCAAAATGACATCACTCTGTCCGTCCCCTCAGTACGCACGGTGCTTGGGAAAAAAGCCATATCGTACTCTGCCCCCTCGACCTGGAACACACTTCAGCAGGAACTTAAGCTGACCAGTTTGATACCCATCACAGATTGTAAACTCATGTTAATAAATCATCTGTGGGTGTTTGCACCTGCTATATCTGACTACTGTATATGGATTTCATTGACGACTTTTTTTACGATGTTGTATTTTAGTGTTGCCTCTGTGTTTAGTGTCCTGTCTGTCTGTAACTTTGTGTGGTAGTGTTACCACTGACAGGTCTCTCTTGAAAATGAGATCTTGTGTCTCAATGAGATTTTACACCTGTATAAATAAAGGCTAAATTTAAAAAAATGGCAACAGGAAAATCACACACACACACACACACACACACACACACACACACACACACACACACACACACACACACACACACACACACACACACACACACAAACACTCAGACACACCCTTTAACGAAGAGTCCAGAGTTTGATTGTAATAAATGAGGGGGAGGTGATCTGAGAACTGTTTCTAGTCCAAATTGAGACTAAAGGGGAAATGCGCACAACACATATTTTATTTAAATGTTAAATGTGGTCCAACCAGTTAGGTTACAAAAAACCCCCTTCATCCATGCTAAGCGTTATCGTGCCACACATGGGAACAAGGAACGAAGTCATCCTCATGATGTCATCAAATGTGGCCCTGCCTTCATTTGAGAGGAAAACTGCACTTAGGGCTGAACAGCAGATATGCACACATACACCTACATAGCAGTAACCTTAAAGGAAAGCATCAGCATTAAAACATCGTCTCACAAACAATCACACACGTGTATTTGTTGGTAGGGTTTGAGAGCAGCTGTGGTTCGATGAAAAGCAGATTGTTCTCAGCGTTCATAAAGACTGCAACAGAAATGGGTATCTAGCCACAGAAGGAGAAGACTGACGTCACGCTGCCTCCTGAACCTGCTTGTGTTAATGTCATGCCCACATGCACAGGAGCATTAAGAGCTTTTTTTAAACTAGGGTAACAATATTTAAACATCTCTAACACTTTCAAATACAGAAATATATTTGAGAATCCATCTGCGTGCATTTATTAATTTTGGGACTGATCTGACACCACCCCCTATGCAAGTGTCCTCTGGCGCCGTGGAGTTCAGAGCAGCTTGGTGTTACCGTTTGTCAGGTTAGGAACAAGCACTGAACAAATACTCTGCTGATAGAAAACCATTCAAGATTCAAAGGTTTATTGAGAAACTTCACAGATCACCGGTTCTTCAGCAATTTACAAGAGATCACAAGTAATCATATCCCAACACGGGATAGTGCAGCTCAGGTGTCTTATGAGGGATGAAACTGTCTCTGAGTCTGGTGGTTATCCTGATGGGGGTCTCTGTAACCCTGATGGGGTTCTCTGTAACCCTGATGGGGTTGCTGATCTTAAGCCTAACCCCTGAACACAACGTGGTCCGGAGCAGCGTGTGTCTGCAGCGTGAGTACCTGATATCCTGTAATCTGATTTAGATAGTAGTGAGCCCCCCAGGTAGTGCAGGTGGTTGGGTTATTCATCAAGACCCTCCACCACGACAAGGTGGACATTCAGGAGAGGAGAAGCAGGTGATGGAGGACAGTCAGGTGTTCAGTTTGGACATTTCCTGTTCATCGATACACTCTGCTGATCCTTTCTCCTTAGCTCTTTTAGATTTCAGAAAAAGTCCAACAACAACAAGACAAACCACTCCCAAACCAACTCCCAACCCAACGTTTCTTCTGTGCACTTGTTCCTCCAATTCTTCCATCTCAGACCCTGAGGACAGAAAGAGAGAGCAGTGAGGAAACGACTGGACCTCCCCTCATGTTGGAGAACAGCTGATCATGAAGGAGATGAAGAACAGAATCTGTTTCCTCTCCAGTCTCATGTCAGACATTATCTACCGATCACAGAGCATCAACATCATCTTTAAACCAATGGAGGAACTCTTCAGGAGAAACACACACTCACCGTCAGAGACGATCAGATGGACGGAGGACACCAACACTCCCAGGTTTGAATTATTGGAGTTAGTTGTAACCCGACATTCGTATTTTCCCGTGTCGTTGATGCTGACGTTCTTCAGGAGAACAGAAGTGTTTCCGTTCTTCATCTGTGGATCTTTCAGCTCAACACGACCATGATAACGTGGTTCCTGGAAGCTTTCAGACGGCTTGTTATCACTGAAGTAGAA